GCTAAGCTCAGCGTGTGGACTATATACACCGTATTCTAACGCATGTTTGTGTTTCCAGTACAAACTAGTAGTCCGAAATATGATTGGCTGGATGAAGGTCAAAGAAGGTCGAAACAGAATGTATCAATCTCCCCGCATTTTCCGTCGTCCATCCTTGGGAGTACGGTATAACACAATTTCCAAGTGAGTGAGTGGTCCAATGGCAACATGGACGGACGCGTGTGTCCTCTACCAGATCGCTTTACGCGTATCCGCTACTGTATATCCCCGACCTAATACCCGTAAGACTGCAACCTCGTAGCTCAATGCTTAGGACGTTTACCTCTGACCGGAGAGAGGCAATTTCAAAACTCCAGTTTGGCAGCAATTTCAGCAACAACACTGGAAGTAGGTATCACTAGCTGACGACGGCTAATGATCCAGAAATGGCCATTCTAGTGTCCAATGTCTTTGTCAGTAATGTCCTTCTGCCTATATCCTATCCGCCTCGCGGTGGAGGCTCGAGTGAGAGCTCTAATGGCAACATGCACGGACAGGTGTGACCTGTAACCGATCGATGCACGCGTATCTGATACTTTATATAAAAATAGAGATAACATAAGGCGAAAGTGAAAGCAGTAGCTTGGCTATCGGTGCAATTTGCATTACCTTTCGGATGCTGGATGTCGAGCTGGTATCAGAGTCCACAGAGAAACTGACAGTGAGTTTCGGTTTCACCTCTTGTTGATCCTTTCCTCGAGACCGACGCGGGTCATGTTCAAGCTCATCAACACGTGACTGAAGCAAAATTGAGAATTTTTATTCGTAAGGGTCCCTGTTACTACACATGGGAAAAAATGCAAAAAACAGCGGTTCTACATTCTGCCTAACTATACTCAAATAGCAACAGAAAGATTCCTTTAAAGAGGCCATACTTCTGCCTTTTCGGCACTTGTAGAGCCTATAAGTTTGTGAGGAAGATAATCAATCATTAATATAAAGGATGCTTCCCTTATTAAGGACAGGCAGTATAAATACTTAATCGTCGGCTAAAAGCCAGAAGCAAAAGAAAGAGCGACAGCTTCCAAAATTAAAAATACGAAGGAGAAGGATGACAACCAAATGTAAAGGGGAGTCAAAAACTATGCGGAAAGCTGAAGGGGAAGAAGATAAAAAAGGAATAAAAAATCAATACTAGCAGAAATTGTAATGTACGTGGTGATAATAATAACAGCAAAAGTGATTGCAGTATAAATAATATATAATGGGCAAAATATGGAAAGCAGGAATAACTCAAAGTTGCAAGTATCAGTGCCATCTCCAGATAAAAAGAGGAATAATAAAGGTACCTACCCAGTTTGATGGCTAGGTGATTACTCTGTTTTCGGCATAAAAAAAACTGCTCGATTTGGGGACTCCAGCACAAAACCTAGGCACTCCTATCCTGTCTTTCAATCGAGGTGAGTAAATGGCTGATACTACCGTTAGCAACTGACAGGACCTCGGCCGGCGTCCCATAAATAAACTAGTTATCTAGTGGTAACCTCGGTCACAGATAGAACCGCATGGGCTCCTGACCAGAGGTTTGTTCATCAATGGCTAGCAAGGACACATCCTACATTTCAATTCCAATCTTTCGCGTCTTTACCACGTGAATTTACGCATGCCAAAAATGGATAGCCGTTTTTCCCCTATTATAATCTTTCAATTTATGTACTTCGCAAGTTCTGTGATGATACCCAAGTAAGTAGTTAAGAATTAGAATGAGGCGAACGCCCGTTTTCGATTATTTATTATAAGACTTGTATAGTTATATAAGTAAGTTACAGAAAAACAGCGCAAGTTGCAAATAGCAGATAAGCAGCAGTCATGGAGGTGTGATGACTCACTCTACATAAGCAAGCATGCCAGAAGGCCCACCGCTCCTAATCCGTGCGTCTGCACTGAAGGTGGCCTCTGCAACAGCCAATCACAGATACCGCAAAAGCTGGTCTCTCACGGCTTCGTATAAGACGCAGGCAAGCCTAGGGTGATGCAGTCTGTCCGGCCAATAACCTTCAAGGCAACCAGACAATGCCCCTTCTCGCTGCCGTTTGCATGCCTGCTGTTAAAACCCCTCTTGGGCCCGGCTGGCTCTCCTGACCGGTCGTGTTCTTCCAAGTCAGACTTCTTCCATCTATTTTTCGTTCCTCTGTGCACACAATATACTGTCCCCAATACTCTGGCCTCAAGTGACTTCTTCTCAACTAAGTAACCATGGTCTGAAGATCACAGCTGCTAGGATTTAACTTGCTTAACCCCCTGCAATAAACGGAGAGGATTGTGAACGTTCAGCCCTATCAGAAACCACGCGTAAGTATACAATAGGTATGTCAGGGGAAAATGGAGGAGATAATATATCAATGAGTTATGTTCGTTCTCTGGTAATGCAACGCACTGTGGCATGATGTGGCTCAGTCTGGACCTGGACATCTCGAGGGTTATTG